CACACCCACCCACACTCACACCCACCCACACTCACACCCACCCACACCACACTCTGGTTCCAGCGGTGTCCCACAGAGAATTCTTGTTTGCCAAATCAGTAAAAATAGCTAATTTGGTAAACAAGAATTCTCTGTGAGGCTCCATTAGAACCATTTTTTAATATTTTTTTCTATTTGAAGGAGCATCAGCAGTTACAGTGTCTGAAAGAGCTTTTTTTTATTCATTACCTTTTATGTGGAGAAAAAAAGTCGAGAGTTTCATTTTCCTACCAAAAATCGATCTGGAAGGACGGGAGGCCTTAACACGCATATATGCGTGATCCATAACCAAAGGGTTAAGCAACGAATGGCAATAAATATAACTAGTCAATACTCAGAATGACACACTAAAGTTTTTTAAAGTGTAGTCTATGTTTGTATTCGTCATGGTTTTGATTCGTTGTCAATCAATCTCAATTTGGATGACCACTGATTCTACGTCAAATCTAAATACTTGAAAGGAACAACTTTTTTAAATGAAATTTGTATGATTCATGGTATAAATTTCCAATTAAATAAAATCAAAATGACTTAAAGGATTATTTTGTTTCTGCATTTTCAAACTGATCAGAATAGTCTAGAAAAGAAAGATCAACAAAAAAAGCCTACATCTAAAATTCTTTGCACTTATAAATTATTGATAGGAAGAACATCACGTTTTACTTGTTCTTCAAAATTTAACACAAACAAAAAATAAAAATGATTTTTCCAACTAAAATTTCCTCGTAAACATACTCGTGATTTGAATTTTTGTACCCCTATTCTCTCATAGAATATTATACAAAGGAAGTTCTGAGGATCTGAAAGTGAGTAGTTGGATTACACTATTTCTAGTTGACTTTTTCAATTTTGTCATCATTGTTCGTGTGCTATCATGGTTGAAAATTTTCTCAAATCTATTTGAAATATTGATAATTGTATGATGCGTTCTATACGGAATGTTTGTAGAGATAGATATATTTATATATTTCGTTCTGGTTTTACTCAATGAAACGATGATATAAATAAAAAACTCATCAAAGAAATCAACATTTTTTCTATTATTAAAAGCAAAAGCAAACATGCGATGCATTTTTCTTCTTTCCTAGATGACAACAGACCAAAAAACAAAAAAACAACTCTTGTTATTTGTACGTTCTGTTCTTCCGACTACTTGGTTTTTTTCTATTTACGTTGCAATTATTAAGAGAACAAGGCAAAAAAAGAACATTATCATTTCTATCAAGAAAGAAAAACGGCAAAAAAAGTAAAAAGTTTCTCATTGTTTTTTTTTTATAAAGCAAACATCGAAAATAGCATGTTGATAAACGAAATCTGATAAGCAAACGCCAAATAAGACATATAATTCGTCTTCTCAAAATTCATAATCAGACCCAAATTCATTTCGAATACTAATATCTTACATTTAAACACAATTTACAGTGACAACAGCTAGTGATTATTAACTACAAACACAAGCAAAAATATCGACATATTCATTGCTTTCGGCCTTCATCGAAGTAATACATCTCATAATACTAAATCTCCAACACCACCACCAAACTCTGCACCTTTGGCTAATAAAATGACAGCACCTAGTTCATATACACCCTATCTACCGCCAGCACAGCCAATTGATTTAAGTACATTTAAAGGTTTTAAATTCGTTACACTTGATGATTTAGTGGTAGAAACACGTGATATTGATGACGATGTTACTGGTACATTTGAATGGGAGATGTGTGCAGGTCAAGAAGATCGATGTATAAAATTTATTCGCGAGAAGTGTGTTAATAAACGAACATTCTTGATTACCTCTGGTGGACACGGAAAAAATGTTGTACCTCAAATTCATGATTTACCACAACTTTATGCAATTTATGTTTATTGTGCAGATGTTTTAGGTCATCAACAATGGGCATCTAAATTTTCAAAAGTACGTATTGTTTGTAATGATGATAAAGTGTTACATCCGCAACTTGCTGCTGATGTGGCACAAGCCAATATTGATTGGGGAAATGCACTTCTCAATGCAGATAAACGTGATGAAGCTAAAACGAAATTCCAAAAAGCATTGGACAATTTAACTAAACATGTTAAATTTTCTGATCAAGCTTTCATGAATCAAATGCAAAAAAAATTAGCTGAATGCAATTAAATTGATTCATCTATGAACTATATTTATGTTTTACTGCAAAAGAACTTTGAAAATTTTTCTTGTTGTTCTTACATTCAATATAAAATGCATAAAATCAAGAATTGCTTTTCATTAACAATATCCAACACTAACGAGCAACAAAACATACATTACATTTGTTTAGTGTATAATTTTAATCTTCATTCGTGCAAAGCACATGTGCCAAGGCTTTTGCAGATCAGTTGATTTAGATGCTTTTAATTTCATAAAATAACAAAACAACACACTAAAATAAAATGTATCGCACTTATGTATCGCAAGTTATAGTGTCGCAGGTTTAATCGCGGGTGTGGGTGTGGGGTGGGGTGGGGTGTGGGTGTGGCGTGGGGTGGGGTGTGGGTGTGGCGTGGGGTGGGGTGTGGGTGTGGGTGTGGATGTGCGTCTGGGTGTGAGAGTGTGGGTGTGGGTATGGATCTTCTCTTCAACAGAACCCACGCCCATACCCACACCCTCGAGATATTCCGGAAATCAAATTTTGGCTGGAAGGCCCTAAGTTGTATTACCTATTCGGACCCTTTCGCAAGACTTTTAATATTTTTTGAATATTCAGCTATGCTTATATTTACAAGCTCTACAAACTCAAAAAGTTAATGTAAAGTCTAGTAAGTTTTCGAAAGAATTACCCTTATGCAAACTGAGGATATTAAGAAAGGGTGTGGGTGGCTGGAGTGTGGGTGTGGGTATACATCTTCTGTTGACCCACACCCTCTTTTCATCAATTCAATGCGATTTATTTGAGAGAAAGAAAAGAAAAAAAATAATCCATCGTAACCAGTCTATTCGATTGAAAATCGTTGAACACGATGATTTTCATAATCGGCGACATAAAGATTGCCATGTCGATCGAAGGACAACCCAGTGGGAGTATAGAGCTGATTTGCTGCTGCTCCTTGACCATTCCCACCCACAATGACAGTGCCTTCTTTCGCTCCTTGAGACCAACGCATCACTCGATCATTAGTCTCATCTCCTACATAGATGGTACCTAATGTATCGACGAACAGTCCGGTAGGACGATACAATTGTGTTGAAGCATTCCCTTGGCCTTGACCCCCAGCGACGACAATTCCTTCTTTTGCACCTTTATTCCATTTCATCACCCGATGATTGTAGTAGTCTGACACGTAGACAGCTTGTTGTCTATCAACAAAGAGGTATCTTGGCCAGTTGAATTGTTCGAGATCAGCACCTTCGCCATAGCCACCAGCCACAATAGTTCCACTATTGTTTCCTAGTTGATATCGTGTTACTGCATTTTCTCCGCTGTCAGAGATGTAGAGATATCTCTGATCATCCATGGCCAAACCAAAACACGTGATGTCGTTGATGAGGATTTCTCCTTGAGTTGTACCACTACGACGAGACCATTGTACGACTCGTTGATTCCATTGATCACAAATAATGAGACTATCTGTCTCTCTGTCGATCATCACACCAGTTGGGCGATTTAATTGATCCAATCGATTACCTTGGTCATGGCCACCAGCTACCACTTGTCCATTCATATCACCCATCTTCCATTGCATAATACGATGATTCCAGTAGTCGGCGATGACCATCGTTTGATCATCACCAATGAAGAGACTAAAAGGGTAGTTGAGTTGATTGGTGACATTGCCTTGTCCATGGCCTCCAGCAACAGTCGTTCCATTCTGTACCCATCGGGCATTGGCTGGAATATTGGGAAATACTACAATGAACGAAAAAGAAAAGGAGTCATTATTGTCGAAGAGATCTTCCTCTCTCACGCGAGAGAAAGAGCTATGAAGCAGACATTCGTCTTCTTCGAAGAGAATTTGGTAAAACTTTCGAGAATGTTCTTTCCACAGATAAAAATTCAGAAGCCTTTTCCTAGTTTCCTATAAAGAAAAAAGGATTTCGTAACGATTGTTACATTTATGTCACTTTTAGTTTTTGCCAAAATCTTTTTGACCCTAAAAACTACACCTGGAGATTGCTGTAAGGAGGTCCTCGAAGAAAAAGCAATGCTAATTCTATGTAAGCTTCCGGTAGAAAAACATAGGCATCTGAGAATTTTATTCGAAATTCGAGAATTCAGAATTTTTTTTGCAGGATGATCATTTATATGAATATCAGACAAGAACTTAAGCAATAAAATAATGAACTATGTGAAACTTCTAAAGTGAAAAAATCCTAAGAAGATTCTATATGCATCTTGCTAGGAGGATGTTGAATCGTTGAAAAACAAATGTCAAACATAATTTCTATATTTTTGGAGAACTTTAAAGATTCAATGTGCATCTTTGGAGATGCTTTTTACGTCATAGGACAAAAGTTCTGATTACATGATTTTCTGGATGATATTTGAAGATCTGGCGAAGAATTTTCTTAACATTGGCATAGTGCACGCATCTAAGATTTTATTAGATTTTTGCATGCGGAGTTATTTGTAGCACTTCGATGAAAAAATCTGACGGGATCCTAGGCGAATCTATAGAATTCGATGACTTATAATTTTCAAATATTGAGAAGAAAAATGCTAATCCTATTGGAGCTCTCCATAGGATAGCATATGGATATGTAGATTTTATACGTAATTTAGAAGGCGTGGACCTTAAGTGGAAAGCTAGAAAGAGTTCTACGAAGCTATGAGAATGTTTTCGTGAAAATCAACTTCAGATCATTGCATAAGATCCTATCGGGTGTCACGAAGAATTGCAATATTTTGTGTTTTAGATATATCTCAATTTAGAGAAAAGATTAAATTTGGAATTTGTTTTTGATAGATGAATAATTCAATTTTCTACAAACTTGTATTTATCTTCATTTAAAACAATATGGAAATAATATAGAGAGGAACCAAATACAACTGAAGAGAAAGAAAAACGCGAAAAAGAAACATTTCAACATGTAAATAAACGATTGGATGATTAAAACATTCTTTTTACAAACTTAAAATAGTGGATATATTAAATTATTCTAAAGAGATAAGGACTCATGACACCTTCAAGTACTTGAGATCGAACAAAAAACCTCAAAAAAATGCGTTCTTTTTTTATTTTAATATATCTATCATAAAATTTTTTTAATATTTGCTTCTGTGATAGGAAAATTTTAGCTTGAACATATTATAAAATTTTTCTTACGAGTTATTGCAAAAAAAATTAGCAAATCAAATGACTGCCTCAACTTTGATGCATAATCTATTTATTTGTCTATCTCTGAGCAAAATCAGTGGATGCTGAGAGTAACACAAAGATTTCTTCCATCATCCTCACGATAAATAGAAAGGTATCTTAGCATTAACAGGCGAAGGAAAAATATACTCTTCAATTCAATTGATTCTAGTCAGTTAGCACACTTTATTGATTTGCGATGTGATGAAAAAAAACCAAACGTTGTCAATTTTCTATTTTATCACTATTCAACTTGATTCTTTTCTTCTAACAATGTTAAATCTTCACAATTTAAAAATGTTTTTTCATACTGAAATGAAAACCGCAATGATTTTCGATAGCTCTAAGAAAAGTCGATCCTCAAACAAATCAACAATAGATTGTTAATGCGATAAGAATAAAAGGAAAACACATTGAAAATCTCTATGATCGTACAAGTAAGAGAAACATGAAACAAAAACATATATAACGATGGCTATGCAACATCGCAAGTAGATTAAATCACTTTTTGAACTTTTAGAAAAATAATACGTAAACAAAGTAAATAAATAGATGATAGAAACAGGCATCAACTCGCACATGTGTAAAGAAAAGGAAAAAAGTAGTGGGACATTTTTAAGAACAGCCTATTCTGTACGATTATTAAAGAATTGACTTGTCATTCTGCCAAGAAATCAGAGGGGGTCTATAAATAATAATTCTCCCATCAGGTGTGTCCGTATAAACATAAGTAATTGAACTAAAGATTCTGCGTCTAAATGCATTGAATTGCTTTGAAAAGAACGAGAAAAATGAGTGATGGTTGAATTTGTTCAGAAAAAATACGCGGTTTTTGAAGGTCTTGCCTGATTGGTTTGTTACTATCTTGTAATGAATGAGTTATTACTTTGGTATTGATCTGAAAGATCGTATATCAAATTTAAAACTTAAAAGAATTTTAAATTTGACATAGATTTCTACGTCAACAAAATTCAATTATAATAAGTCATTTGTTACAAGATGGCAACAAAATTGAATTCTTATAATAATTTATCTAAATTATACTTCAAGTAACCGAGAACTATCGGAATCTGGTTGTTTTCTTTCTAAGCAAACACTCGATTCAAAAAACCAAATGTTTAGTAACATGTAAAGATATACGAAAAAAATTATTCTACATTTAAGAAGTTCATCGAACTAGTGAAAGTTCTATGAAAGTAACATATATATATATATATTGTTGCATAGATTTCGGACCATTTGGGTTTCTAGTTTTTTCTGAATATATAAATTTGAACAGATGTAGAAAATATACATTTGTAACACCTGAACTATTATGTAAAATCGATTAATAATAATGAACATTATTATTAAGAATGTGGGTTCTTAGAAAACATGTTTAAATAAAGAGTGGTCGAACAGTTTCGACGCTTCTCTGAGTAAATGAATGATATCTATGACAAACTTATACATGGTCAACTGATCGAAGTATATATTTTTGTAGAGAAAGATTAGAAGTATCATCTGAAAAAAAGATACTTAGAAACACATATGTATTGTCCGTTTCAAAATATAAAATATGCTCCACTGTTTTTTGAATAACTCGAGAACGCAAGCAGCTACAGATCCGCGGTTTTCACCAGTCGAAAGAAAAGATTGGGAAATGTCTTTCTCTCCAATAATGTATAAGAGGAAATCCTTTTAAAAACTAATTATTTTGAAAAACATGTAAAAGAAGGCATGAAATTGATCTGCCATCTAGATCACAAGTCATTTTTATGCCTTCTTTTGCATGTTTTTCAAAAATAATTAGTTTTAAAAGAATTTCTTCTTATACATTATCGAAGAAAAAGACGCCCCTCACTCTCCTCTTTCGATTGATGAAAACCGCGGATCTCTAGCTGCTTGCATTCTAGGGTTATTCAAAAAACAGTATAGCACATTCTATTTTGAAATGGACAATAGTGCAATATTATGGTCATATTACTATTGTCGGTGCCAGAATTAAATGTGGGTTGGTGTAAGACGAATATCTCAAGAATGGCAGTAGCTAGCGATCTGAAATTTTCACCAATCGAAAGAGGCTGAGTTAGGACATGTTTTGATATATATTATGCAAGATGAAATCATTACCTAACCAATCATTTTTGGGAATCTTTTGGGAAAATGTATAATAATACAATGTAATTCCAATAAAATTTTCATTTTGATATGTATATCAGATAGAGGAACTTCAGCTCTATAGTTCAAGATACAATGCGAATAGTTACCTTCTCAGAGTCTAACGATGAGCAAATGAATTCGGTCACTTGCTTGCCAAAATAATATGGAATTACGCTGATTTTTGGTCCAATTTTCTTACTTTTTGTCAAATTTTCATCGAAAAAACAAGTGATTTTGATAAAAAGTCAGAAAATTTGGTAAAAAACCAGTGTAATTCCCTATTATTTTGGCAAGCAAGTGGCCGAGTTCATTTGCTCATCGTTAGACTCTGAGAAGGTAACTATTCGCATTGTATCTTGAACTATAGAGCTGAAGTTCCTCTATCTGATATACATATCAAAATGAAAATTTTATTGGAATTACATTGTATTATTATACATTTTCCCAAAAGATTCCCAAAAATGATTGGTTAGGTAATGATTTCATCTTGCATAATATATATCAAAACATGTCCTAACTCAGCCTCTTTCGATTGGTGAAAATTTCAGATCGCTAGCTATTGCCATTTTTGAGATATTCGTCTTACACCAACCCACATTTAATTCTGGCGCCGACAATATTTTTGCAAGCAAGTGTCCGACGAGCAACTGTCCGCGCTCAACTGTCCGTTTTCCGTATATGCGGTACTCTGGCTTTGTGCACATTGTCATACATCTAGTGGTAATTGGATAATAAAATATCCAGCAGAAAACTTTACTGTCACAATACTGGGAATTTCGACAATATCCAAAATTCAGCGGTATTGTCAAAATGCTGATTGAATTAAAAATTTCTTGAAATTCTATCGAAGATTTGACTTTGCCAAAATTCAAGCGTCGAAATTCCATCTTACTGCTTCTCCATGATAGGATTTTCGTGCACCCTTAATAATTTTCCTCAAGTGACTTGTGTGCATTTTTCATTCATGAATTTAACAAAATTTCAAAAATGATGTCTGTTTCATCATTGAAAGTGGTACAGTTTTCATACTCTATCATTACATTTAATCAGAAAAATTTCATGGCAATAATAGAAATTATATTCCTTTTTGTCATGTTTTTAGTCATCGGATAGCTGCTTCTGTATTTCAATAATAGATCAAAACTAAGTGGCGATATTCCATCAATCGTCAACATATTTAAAAAAAGCGATGAAATGTTTTAGTTAGCACCAATTGATGTTGCAGCGAAAAATACCAAAGAAAAAAATATTTTCATCGATTGAATGATTTGACTCGATACACATGATAAACTAATTATTTATGGAATTCATTCTCTAGAAGTCGATAATAATCACGAGCTTTATGATATTAGTTCTCTCAAAAATCTATTTAAATTAGCACTAAATTTTTTTTTCTTACTTGATTGTGATGTAGAAAGTGCTTCTGTTGTCGATATTGTTATCATGCTTGGTGCTAGAAAAGAATTATGTTTTCAGTTGATATGTGACGTAAATTGAATAGCTTACTGCTGGTTGTTTTTTCTTGTCCGCATATTGATGAGTTTGGTAATATACTATTTGTAAATACTATTTGTTGCAATTGTATTTCTGTTAATGTTGTTGTACACAAATCAATATTGGAAAATTCCACACCTATCATATTTGTATTACCAAAGTCTGTTCCATCCAATTCTGTACTGTCGAAACTAGCATAAGCTAATGATGAATCTGAAAACTTGACATTATTTAATCGTGAATGGCTAAATGATGTTTCTCTCAGATTGACAAATGAGAATCGAGCATTGATCATTGATACTTGATCGAATACAACATATTCAAGATTTAATGAATTTAATGAACCAGTTGGACTTGTTAAACTTATATTATCGAAGTTTAAATCATTTAGATGAATTATATTATCAACTTTCTTAACTGCACGATTTTTAATGTTTGGTTTTCTACCAATTAATTGGTTTTCTTTGAGAAATTGCAAAATATCTGCTTTACATATAGCATCCCATTGGCGATGTGCAGCACGAAAACGAGCATTGGCAAATGCCCATGGATTTTTTTCCTCATTTAAATAACCGTCTTTCTCTAATTTGTAAATATCATCTAAAAATTTATCACAAATCGCTTGTTGTCTGAATTCAGTTGCTTGTTCCAAATCAAATTGTCGTCTTTTATCAGCCACTTTTCCTTCCTGTGCAGTTGTTGTTGCAGTATAGATACCAAGAACTATGGGTAAAAAAGTTGCGCACAAAGCAGTTAATATTTCATTCAATGTTAAATGGAAAAATTTGGTTTTCTTGGTTTTGGTTTTTGGGGTTGGGGTTTTCGTGGTATGTTCCAGTTGTATTGACGATGGGGCGCAAGTAGGGGTGTCAGTTTCGGGTTCCGTTCCTGGGAACGGGAACCCGCACCGAGTTCCGGGTTCCTAGGAACGGGAACCCAGTTGAAAATTCATTTCTGTGCATTTTTGAACACACTAGAGTGCTTATACATACTTTTTCTTTCGTTTTGAGACGAGTCTCTCCGGGTTCCCAGGAACGGGAACCCGCACCGGGTTCCGGGTTCCTAGGAACGGGAACC